GGCCAAATCAACGACGTCGCGCGGAACGTGTTCTAAACTAATTTGTGGTAAATGACTGCACCAAATTGTGTCACAACTAAAGACAAGCTAATTCTAAGTCATGGACCGCGCGAAGCTACACTTTCGGTTCCGTTGAGCGAGGGTTGAAGTGGTTAGAAAATCAAACCATAACAATAAAACATCGACTGTAGTCGCCGACATCCCGCTAAGAATCTGGCAGAGAACGTGTCAGAAAGTATTTGAAGAGGGAAAGCTAATTTACGCAAGTATCGAATTCTTTGACAAATAAGAAAGCAAAACCGTGTCGACAAATAAGCTCGGGTACATTTAAGCCTAAAAAATGTGTAAAGGTTTTAGTTGAATGCAAGAAACCCTTGACTTTCTTTCCTCAAAGGAGGTAAACCTGCGGCAGTGAGTTAGGCATGAAGGTTAAGCGTACTTTATTGCTGACCTAAATAGCCGTTTACAATCAAAGCGAACTAAGTGATTAAGCAGAATCGTGATTTAACTAAGTCACTCCTAGATCTGAGTGAATAAGTGTGGAATTCTAGCGCAAATAAAAATAGTACTGCGGTTTAAATGCCTAAATGACAAAACAACACATTCTGATGGAAAAAAGAGTGGTAAGTGATGATGGAAACCACCGCAAAGGTAATGAAAACTCACCAGACACATTACAACTGCATTGACATTTTGCACTACCTCAAGCCACCTTGTGGGTGGTTGGCATGAACTTTTGCTTTGCGAGACTACTCACATTGGGGAGATCCCACTGGCGGATCACGGTCTCTGTCACACACTTGCTGAAGACGGTATTTATCAGCTGGTGACAGTACCAAAGTATTCTGTGGAACTGGAAGCAGTCCAATCATTTTATAATAAAACTACACAAGCCTTGCTTTAACCAACGCACTTCTTCAAACCTATGCTATGGTCACTTGTGTAAACTAGTTGCATACTTACTTTGAGGCGAATGAGTAGAACATTGCGTGCACCTCTTACATTGTATAATAGGAATGCATCTTTTAACTGCCAATCCTCTACTTCCAGCTTGTTCACCCCTCCATTACTATCGGTTATATTTTTGCAGAGGAATATGCAGAAAGTAGTCCCTCCGTACGTTTTTTCTGAAAAACATTTTTCGTATGACCATATCTTGCATTCTGTTAAATGCAGCATTAGTACGTTGGTTTGATCACCAAAATAACTATGTAATGGGCTGGTTGGCATTGGGTAGAGCTAGTGTGCACGAATGTGTCAGCTAGATAAGTTGGAGGATTTCCTCGTATATCGTTTTGAGCA